AGGGCTTCAGTTCTAATGACATCACACAAAGGTTCATCGTAAAACATAGAGGTAATTCTTGGAAACTTTCCTATGAAGAAAAACACAGATCTCTAAGATTCTGACTGCTCTTCCTCCTTGTGAAGGACAGATTTAGCTCAGCTTGAGGAGGAAAAGCTGTGCAAGAGAGGAGGAGGGCTAACAGCTTACTTCTTGGCTGCCAACGTGGAAGCATTAAATGTTCACAGCCAAAAGTAAAGCTGTTGTTTTTCTGGTCCAAATATTCAGCTAGAAATAAAGTTCTAAGCAACTATAATGATGTCTCTGACTTTCTTCTTTTAATAAAAATAAAACAGTAAGTTAAATTATATTTATCATGAAAGCAAAGGTTATTGAAACAAATTGTCTCCATGGGATTAGAGAGTGATTTATGGCAAAGCGTACCTATTTTTCTAGACGTACCAGGGTTGGGGACCAATCTCATGTCACATGTTTATAAGAGGAAATGCATAATATAATCTCCAAGTTTAATGCTTAGATATTTCCAGGAAGGCAGCAGAAAATACTGAATTGGGGACCAGGAGACTTGGGCACTAGTTTTGGTTCTAACTAGCTATGTAACCTAGACAAGTCATTCGCCTCTGGGCTTTGGCTTCCAAAATGAACATTCTATGACAAGCTAATAGAGATAAATTACAAGAAGAGCTTGCAAGGTTGTGTGTGAGCAGCAATGTGACAGATGAGTTTCACTGTGGGTAAGTGCAAAGTAATACACTTGTGGAAATATAATCCAAACTGTGTTTACAAGGTGATGGAATTTGAGCTCTCAGTTACCACCCAGAAAAAGGACCTGGGAGTCATCATAGGATACTTCTTGTGACCAAATGGCCAGCTTTAAAATGGGTCATTTTCAAGGATGCTGAATATTTTTTTAAAATCATACTATCTTCATTAGAAAAAATTATTGTCTTTATACCTTTGGAATCCTAAACTCAGTTTTGGACTGTACCTAAAGAAAGAAATCTAGAGAACTGTAGCAGTTTCAAAAAGCAACAAAAATAATCCAGAGTTGTGGAGCTGCATTATCAGAAAACAAAGATTAGCAGTCCAGGCTAAAGAGAGGCATACGTTTGGAGAATTATGCTCAGAGGCATAGTCCTTTGCACATAAAACAGAAGCACAATTAATTGTCTTCAAATATTTGGTTAGACTTCTTCATAGTATAGTAAAAAGATCCTGGATTTGGGGTCCCAACATCATTCAAATTCTAGCTTTGGCATTTACTGACTGTGTGACCTTGAACAAATCACTTCCACTTTCTAGGCCTCAGCTTTCTCATCTACAAAATGATAAGGTTGGACTAAATCATTCCTAAGGGTCCTCCTAGCTCTAACATTCTGTGAATCTCTTAGGATTGGTCCCTAAGGAGAGAATTTGGACCAGAGTGTGAAAACTACAGGGAGGTAGATTTCAGATCAATGTAATGACAAACTTTTAGTGGAATGGGCTCCCTTGTGGGGTAGTGAGTTCCCCATTGCTGGAGGTCTTTAAGAAGAGGTTGGATGGTTGATTATTAGGATATCGTGTTGCAGCAGGGGTTGGAGTAAATATGTCCTAGGGTCCCTTTGTTAATTCTCTCACTGTAGGAATATGGGAGCAAAGACGAGGCAAGTTATTATATGTACTTTTATCTTCATCCAAGACATTAATAAGAATATTGGATAGCACCAAGAACAAAGGCCTGTGGCATACCATTAGAGACTTCCATTCCTGTTGACATCAATATCCTATCAATATGGTTGCTCCATTATCTATAAATGCAATTTATTCCACTATCATCTAGTGTAGCATTCTCTGTCTTGCCTAAAAATATAGTGGAGCAACAAGGTATAGCAGAAAAAGCACTGGACCTGAAATCAAGAAACCCAAGTTTGAATTTCAACTCTGACACTTAATAGTTAGGTGACCATGTATAAATTGCTTTCCTTCTCTGAGCCTATTTCCTCCTCTGTGAAATAAAAATGATAACACAATTGATGTTATATTCATGAATGTATATATTTGTATAGTATGAGTTGTATGTGTATGCATATACACGTGTGGGTATACATGTGTGTATATACATACATATATGCACACACTCACATACATGTACACATTTGCCAACCTTAAAGCCCTAAATAGATATTTTTCAGTATATCATGAAAGACTGGTTAAAATGAAACACTACACCTATAGGATTCCCCCAATCTTACAGCTTGGTAAGCCTACTGAGACAGAAAATAAAGTTAGTTTGGAATAAGTTTTTTTACCAACATAAATTATTCCAGTGAGGAAGAAAAGAACTGTTTCAAGAGGAAAATGTGGCTGTACAAGGTACATCCACTCAGATTTTGGAGTAGTGGATGAATGATATATATATAATATATATCATTCATCCAGTACTTCAAAATATATCCACTAGTCCAAAACATATATATGTTTGTGTATATGCGTGTATACAATTGTATATATGTGTATATGTAGATATATGTATGCATATATAAATATGTGTGTATGTTTACATATATATATGATACATAGTACAAAATATAGAATATATAGAAGCAAGTACAAGTAATTGATTTAAGTACAAGGACAAGTAACTGGTACCATTCTGCATGGAAAGCTAAAATGTAGAACAAAATCTAAGGTTTGCAATGAATGCTAAGGATAACTTTTTAAAAAAGATATTTTTAAGGTATTTAGGGTAAAAAAAAGATTAAAGAAAGAATAAGACCATTTGTTGGGACGGATGGGATAATTAGAATAGAAGGGGGGGAGCAGTTCTGTTTTTGCTTCTTCTCCTACACCAAGCAAAATTATTTTCAGCCCAGGACTGGGTGGTTGTTGCCAAGAACATAGCTATGAATGACCTTGTAACTCAGCATCATCGCTGTGAAGTACTTTGGTATATATGTATATGATGTAATCTTCAACCAATTGCCGTACATCCCACCACCTGTGATTTTTCTCAGGGTCAGGCACAAACAGAAGAGAAAAACACAAATACGTGGAAAGTCACCCAGGTAACCCGACTCCACTAACCTTCACTGCTTTGCCATGAAAAGATCTCATCTGGTTCTCTCATTCACCCTGCTGTGAACCGTCAGTTCTATGGCGTAAGAGTCAACTGAGGAAACATTGATCAAGAACTCTGACTTAGTTTTGTTTTCACGGACTGACTCTATCAGCAGTATCCTAGAACTAGCTCAGCCTGGCTTGGGAGAACCAACTGTTAAATTTTCACGTTGAGTATTTATACCTTGAAAATCAATAAATGCTATAAATCATGACTCAATTTATTGTTTTATTGATTGTCTAGGCTCAAGAAAGTGATGGAGAAAATGTTAACAATGAAGGTTCAACTTAAAAGTGTCATGGGGGCAGCTAGGTGGCACAGTGGATAGAGCTCTGGAATTGGAGTCAGGAGGACCTGAGTTCAAATCCGTCCTCAGACATTTGACCTTACTGTGTGACCCTGGGCCAGTCACTTAACCCCGACTGCCTCACCAAAATAAATAAATAAAATAAAATAAAACCACATAAATAATCAACATTTCTATATCTTACCAACAAAACCGAGCAGCAAGAGATACAAAGAGAAATTCCATTTAAAATAATTGTAGACAATATAAAATACTTGGGAGTCTACCTGCCAAAACCAAACCAGAAACCAAATAAACACAATCATAAAACACTTTTCATACAAAATCAGATCTAAACAACTGGAAAATACCAGTTGTACATGGATGAGCTGAATTAATATAATAAAAAAATAGTGTGTCATGTATACATTTTTTTTTTCTTTCAGAGAGCCAGTACATCATGTTATAGATGATCTAATGGGGAGAAATGCTGGTGTCCTCATCAGGGTTACTAGCAATAGCTGCTACCCTCCTGCCTCACAAATCAATTGTTCTGCCTTCTTAAATTGTGGTAACACTGTAAGCTAATGAACTTGACTTTGATTCCTGACAAAATTCAAGAATGTGTTTTTAAAAAAAAGGTCTATGAGAAGTTAGAAAAGGGAAGTAGCAATCACTGCAAGAAATGATTAAGATAAGTTATGCAAAAAAAAATCTCATTTCCTTTTTTTTTTTTTACAGGTTTCTAGAGTGAAACAGCTGGGAAATGCCATTAGCTCAGTATCTCTGGATTCTAGAAAGGTATTTGACGAAGTTCTCATGATATCCTTATTGACAAGATGGTAAGATATTGGCTAGATGATATTATAGTTAGGTGACTTCAATATTGGTTGAATAACTAGAATAAAGAATGGTGAGGCATGGATGGATCTCAAATTCAAGCAGTCTCTATGAAATATTACAGGGCTCTGTTTTTGCCCCCTGGTATTTAATATTTTTATCATTAAAGAAGTGGATAAAAACATAAATAGCATACATATCAAAGCTGTGGATGACATAAATTGGGATGGGATAGATAACACATTGGTCAAAAGAAGTGATATCCAAAAATATCTCAATTGAGTAGAACAATGGACCAGATCTAAAAGATTAAATGCGTTAAAGACAAATGTACAGTCCTATAATTGGGATCAAAAAATCATTTTCAGTAGTACATAGTGGGGGAGGTGTGGCTAGATAACAATTCAGGTAAAAAAAAAAAGACCTGGGTTATTAATAGACTGAAAGGTCAATATGAGTCAATATTGTGACATGACACCCCCCCCCCAAAAAAAATCCATGATGATCTTATGCTATGTGAGTGAATAAATGAATACTTATTAGGCACTTACCATGTGCAAAGCACTGGGTTGGGTTAAGCACTCAGGACACAACAGAAAAGTGTGACAGTCCCTACTCCCAAGAAATTTAGATTCTAAGAGGTGGAGACAACACATATAGGAAGATTCAGCAGCAGAGCAAATGGAAATGTTCTTGGGGTTCATTGGCAAGGCAAATAGCAATGTTCTAGTGTTCCAGATGCAAGGAAGAGAAGGCTGATGTACAAATATATACTCTTTACTGTTTCTTTGATTGATAAGATCATATCTATTTCTGATATTGAACCTCCTTGTTCTTTGGTGGTGAGAACTTTCTTTTCCAGGTCTTCAGCAGCTGAAGTGGCAGGGGATGAAGCACCAGCAGAGACAGTTACCTGACAGATATCCATAGATATCCTCTGCGGGACAATGTAGGCAGAGGTCAGGCTGGGAGCAGGGTCAGCGGCCCAAAGGGTTCCTGCTTCTCTCAAAGATCTTCGTCCTAGATCATATCCATAGAGGTCATGGTGGTGGTGATGATAATTCATACGTACTGCCTCTAGCACCTAAAACAAATAGTATTTTGGCTTTGTTATACTGTGCCCTGGTTGAACTATGTCTGGAAAATTTGTTTCAATATTTGGTGGCTTATTTTAGGGTATATATATTGACAAATTAGATGCAAATAGAGGACAGCCAGGGTGATGAGAGAACTAGAAACCATGCCATATGAAGATCAATACATCATGCTGTCTTCATAGCCCGAGCACCTAGTACAATATCTTATATTTAGTCATATTTTACTATTTCATTTATCATTGTCAATATCATTTTAAATATATATTGTGTATGTATATATGTATATTTGTAAATATATATATGTGTGTATATAAATATAAACATGTGTGTACACACAAAAATAGATACAAAGATACTGTAGATATATAAAATAGCTATGTGTGTACACACATATGTGTATATATTAATATATGGATACATATATACACATGTATATATGTATCTATAAAAGAAATGGGCTGCCATAGAAAGTCATATCAATAAGTTCCCCATCTCTGCAGGTCCTCAGGTAGAAGTGAAATGATCACTTATCAGGAATGTTGAAAAACTAATGACTGCTTCAGGTTTGGAACAGACTAGAAGACCTTCGAGCCCTTTCTAACTCTGAGATTCCATGATCCTATTGAATCTATTCCTTACTTTTCTAAGTGCTTACAAATCATATCCTTAATAAGCTTTTCTCAAGAAATGATTTCAATCTTGCGGTAATTTGCTCTGTAGTGGCTAGAATCTACCAGTTTTATAACTTTTAAAAACTGGTTCAACTCTTACCTGTCTTCTGGTACTTCTCTTGTTCTCCATAATTCCTTAACAGACACAAATAATAGTCTAATATTCCCATTTGCAAGTTCTTTCAGCACTCTAATGTGTAACTTATCTGGGCCTGGGTACCTGAACTGATTTAAAGTTGCTGTCTGACATCTTACTATCTCCTGATCTATAGTGGTCTTTGGTATGATTTCCCGATTGAAGGTCATTCTTCTTGACCAAGGAAATGAGAACATGTAGGCATTGAGTATTTTCACTTTCATTCTATCATGTATTAATATTGCTTCATCTGATTAGTTTTGCTGAACTTCTACTCCCCTCTCCTTTTTTTATTCCTCACAAATATATGTTTAGTAAATGATTTTTCTTTCAGTCTTCATTTTAAGTAATGGTTCCTTAGGAGGGAAAGGATACATTTAGAAATGTAAATTTTAAAGTAAAACTATATTAATCAATCAATCTAACATTTATTATCTTTCTAACATTTATTAAGACCATACTGTGTGCCAGCCATTATGCTAAGCTATTTTAAAAGGCAAACAAACATTATGCCATATGCCCCAAGTGGTAGGCCTTTCCCTTCCTTATTCTTATTGCTCCAAACAAAGGCAAAAAGTCCATTTTAGTCTTGGGAATTTGGAGCTTTTGGAGGAAGCTTCAACTTATCAAGGCTTTAGCCACCCTGGGTTACGTTTACAAGATCATGTCACTCTTTTGTATTTATCCTGATCTATGTATTTCTCTTGTCCATATTTTGTACATACCCTTCTAAAATCTGAGCTCATCATTTTACTGTTTAGACACCCTTGACAACATCACAGTTATCAAATGGCAGCAAGTTACCTTCTAGCCATTTAGAATAGGAATGATGTGACAACCATACTTACAGCTAACCCCCCTTAGCTCCAGTCAAAATAGGTGAGCCCCAAAGAGTCTTCTTGAATGGATAGAGCAGATAATTGTCTGTTGCTTAATAGGGTAGCACCACCTTGATTTAAAACAGGCTTGTCCCTCAGAAAATAGTCATATCCAGCCAACTTTTAGATCTGGAAGAGCTTAGAATTCAGAAAGTACAATGTTGCTTTAAATTCCCAAGAGAACAGAAATTGACAGGGTTATATCCTAGGAATAAGAATCATGATCATACCATATGATCTAACCATACTAGAAGTAGTGGGAAGGGCATAAATGATCCAGATTTTCTAAACACCCTTTCTCTTTCTCTCTTTACTCTCCTTTCTCTTAGACAGAGAAAGAGAAGGCTCTTCTTTCTCTTCCTTGGGAGTAAAGCACCATTCCTCTTCTTCTTTCTATCTTCCTGGTAGGCAGATGAGCGGAAAACTTTGTAATTCCCCTCTCTCCTTCTGGGCAGAGGACTTGTGCTCCCCTTGGCTCCTTCCCCCTTCTCTGGTAACTGCATGGGAAGTCCCTTTGGGCCAGACAGATATTGGTAATAGTTATCTATACTGTTTTAAGAGATGCTTATGTTTTTTTAGAGCTATAATTAAATGTTTTATTATAACCTTAAGTAAGTAATTTTAATAGGTTGGTATATTTTTACAGAGTTAAAAAAAAAAAGACTCAACAAATGCTGTGTTCATTAGTCCCATTTGATACTGCCCTCCCTCTGACTTACCTGCCCTTCAATCTTAATCATACGAAGTGAAATTCAGTCAATCAAGCATCCTTGTGTGGTTTGTCCTTCCTTCTAGAAGAGGACCATGACATCAGGAAGATGATGCCATGACTTGCAAATGAATTGGATTTAAGCGAGGGAGGGCTGTGTAAAGTCACCAGCCTCACTTTCTCCTCCAGAGCCATCTGGGTCCAGTGTCCAGATATCGATCAGGATGACTGGAGATGGCCCAGCATCAAGCAATCATCCTGTTGTCAGAACTTTAAAGGAAGGCCCTTCTTAACAGATTTGAGGAGCTACAGTACTGTCAGTCATAGAGACCAGCCCCTGTGCAGTCACAAATGTTTCTTTAGAAGCCTCCTCCTTTTCCTCTTTGTTCAGAACATTGTAATTATCTTGCTGGGTTTTTTTTTAGAATTTTCATCCCTCTTTAACAAATTTAACATACATTTATTGAATTTTTCCTACATGTGGGTGAAAGAATAAATCACAGAAACAATACCTATGTATAAATAATGATAATAATGAAACAACATACAGCGATTTCTGGGCTGCAACTAAAGAAATCCTCAAGGGAAAGGCCATATCCTTACAAACATATATTAACAAAATAGAAAAAAAGAGGATTGATGAACTAAATGTAGATTTTTTTCAAATTAGAAAACCAACAAATAAACAAACCTAAAATTAACACAAAAGAGGAATTAATAAAAATTAGAGGGGAAATAGATAAATTGGAAGGAAAAACCCCTTAGAAATAGTAAGTAAAAGTAAAATCTGGTTCTTGGAAAAAACTACTAAAATCAATAAACCTTTAACTAATCAAATTAAAAATAGGAGAGTAGAAAATCAAATTAATATAATAGCAAATAAACAAGGTAAAATTGCAACAGAACCAGATGAAATAAAAAAGGAATCAAAACATTATATATAGTTATATGCTAACAAAACTGAGTACACAAAAGAATTAGAGAAATATCCTCAAAAATATAAAATGTTCACAGTATCAGAAGACTAGATAGAGATTTTAAATAACCTAATCTGAGAAAAGGAAATAGCTGTAGAGAAACTAGTAAAGTGGGGGAAAACCTTGCTCCTGATGGATTCATAGGAGAATTCTATCAAACTTTTAAAGACCAATTATACTCATACTTCACAAATTATTCTCAAAAATTGAGAAAGTATCCTCTCAGAATCTTTTTATGAGACAAATATAGTCCTAATACCTAAAACAAGGAAAGATCAAATATAGAAGGAAAACTATAGACCAATATCTTTAATGAATATTGACTCAAAAACTTTAAACAAAATTTTAAAATTTTGTCTGTAATCAAACAGACTGTTTGTCAAACAGACTACAGCAATTTATCTGAGAAATCATTCATTATGACCAAGTAGGATTTATACCAGGAGAGTTCAACATTAGAAAAATGATCAACATAATTAATCATATTAAAAAATAAAACATGTAAAACCACATTATTATCTCAATAGATACAGAAAAAGCCTTTGAAAAGTACAAGAATTTTTTTAGTGCTAAAAACCTTACAAATTATGGGCATAGAGGGATCTTTTTAAAGTATATATTTTAAAAAAAGAATCTATCCAAGACTAAAAGCAAGCATCGTATGCAATGGGGATGCACTAGAACCTTTCCCAGGAAATACTGGTGTGAAGCAAGGATGTCTACTCTTCCCACTATGATTTGATGTAGTTCTGGAAATGCTAGCAACAGCAATAAGACAAGAGAAAGAAATTAAAGGTAGGGAATCAGCAAAAACATTAATTGAGACAATCAAGAACTTCAGCAAAGTTTCATGCTATAAAAAAAACCCTGAAAAAAATCAATAGCATTTCTATATGACAATAACAAAATATAAGAAGTAATAATAGAAAGGGAAATCCAATTCCAAACAACTAAAAATGTATAAAATAGCTGGGGCTTGACCTACCAAAGTACACAAAAGTCTTATTTAGATTCTATTACAAAATGATCCTTAAAGAAATAAAGAACAGCTTAAATGACTGGAGGAATATTCAGTGCTCATGACTAGTCTGTGCCAATATAATAAAAATGACAATACTAACAAAATTAATTATGCTTTTAATGCCATATCAATCCAATTACCACGGACATTCTTTATAGAACTTGACAAAATAATAAAATTCATCTGGAAAAACAAAAGATCTACAGTATCAAAGGAAATGATGAAAATAAGTAAGGACAAAGAGGGAAAAAGCATTTCCAGACCTCAAGTTATATATTAAAAAGTGGCAGTCATAAAAACCATCTGACATTGGTTAGAAAACAGAGATAGATCAATGGAACAGAGTAGACAAGACAGAATCAGGAGCAATCGAAGTCAATAACCTGGTGTTTGATCAAATGCAAAACAAAAATTACTTAGGGAAAAAACTCCTTATTTGATCAGAGCTGCTAGGAAAACTTGAAATCAGTCTGTCAGAAATTAGATTTAGACCAACACCCTATGCCATTTTTTACAATACATTCTAAATGAATATGCAACCTTAAAATTACAGATCACACTATTAAAAAATTAGAAGAGAAGCAAATCATATACCTCTCACAGGTATGGTAGAAGATGTATACTCAACCAAACAAAAGATAGAGGTAATTACAAAAGTTGAAATGGATGTCTTTGATTACTTGATACTGAAAAGTTTCTGCAGAGATGAAATTAAGTCACCTAGGATAAGAAGGAATCTGGTTGAATGAGGAAAAAAATATCAGTATAAAATTTCTCTGATAAGTTTTTGGTATCTAAGATATATAAACAATTAATAAATACATATGACTAATAACCATTCCCCAATAGATAAATGGTCAACGCATATAAACAAACAGTTCTTACGAGAAGAATTATAAAGTATTCACAACCACATGAAAGAATGCTCAAAATCATTAAAAATAAGAGAAATGCAAATTTAAAAAAAAAAAAACCGAGGTTTTCTCTCACAACCTGCAAATTGACCAAAATAACAAAAAATTTCCATGCCCTTTGTTGGAGGGGTTATGGAGTGATAGGTATACCAATACATTGTTGGTGGAGCTATGAAATAGTACAACCATTTTGAGCAAAAATTTGGAATTATGTAAATAAAATGACTGAAATTTTCAAACCATTTGAACCAGAGACTCCATTACTGGGCTTACACCCCAAGAAAGCCATTAATAAGAAGAAATAAATGGAGACAGGACTTAACAATTTGGAACGTCCAGTGAAAAATCTTAATAAAACAGTGAGTTCTCCAAGGAATAAAATGATCCAGATGGAAGACAAAATTGCATAGGGAATAGAACAAATAATTAAACAAAGTTTTAAAAACAGTATAATTAGAAAAATGTTTGAAAATTTTGCAAACGAGAGTAACAGAACTGGAGGACAGAGCTCAGCAAGACAACGTAAGAATTTTTAGTCTCCCAGAAAAATATGAAGGAAGAGTCTTAATACTTTCATGGGTTTCTGAGTCTTCAGTATACATTCCTATGCTGTACATTATCACTCTAATTTTCCTACTGCCCAGCCCATTCCCTGACAAAGGGAAAGTCAAAGAAATACAAACAGAATTCGTATCACTTCAAAAATATAATACAACACAGCTCCAAAAGTATACAAAGACAAGTCCATCTGCCATACCAAGTTTCTCATCTGCCCCCACTCCCACCTGGATTCTTTCTGTTATTCTTAGCATTTTGTGAAAGTCTCAACTCATTTTGTCTATTTTTCCCCTTTCAGATACTGTCTTATAGGTCTACACCATTCATTTGCACTTGCCTTTGCTCTTTGTTCCATAGGGATTGGAAGAGAAAAGGAATAAGCATTTATATAGCGCCTACTACAAGCCAGACACTGTGTTAAGCACTTTACAAATATTATTGCATTTAATCCTCTCAACAATCCTGTGAGATTTCTTTGGTGTATGTCAACATGACACACTGGCCTGTTACTCTAGAGACTTGGGTTCTAGCTTTACCTCTCAACGAACTTAGCTATGTAATCCTTGCCAAATCACTAAATCATTCTGGGCCTCAGCTCCCTCATTTGCAAAAGGAGGAGAGGTAGACGTGATGACATATGTAGCCCCATCCAGCCCTAAATCTATGCTCCCTAAGGTTTCTCCCAGCACAAATATTTTCCGAGTCTATGTCTTTGGTAAGTATAAGCTCGTTTGGAGTGTGTTCATTTTCCATCTCTAGCACTACCTTGAGGTAGCCGGTTCAATTGCAGACATTAGTTAATTAATTAGCTTCTAAATTAATTAGCTTCTAAGAACTGCGCCTTGAAATTCCAAACTTAAATGTTGCCACTATTCATCCTCACTTTCCCCCTACCCCCCACCTGCCTCTGGTCACATATACACACACAATTATACAAACAGAATGCAGTTTAGGTTGTCTCTTCTAGAAAGAAGAATGTGAATACCCCTTTGTATAGCCAGAGTAGAAAGAAAAAGGCTAGGGCAAAGGAGGATTCTTAGGTGTGGCCCAAGCAAATTAACTTTGGAAAGACTGGAAGAAAAAAGTTTTTTAACATTAAAATAACTAGGTAGATAGACAGATAGATAGATAGATAGACAGACAGACAGACTGGGACATACAGTTAATTCAGACCTGCTTGCTGAATGACTCATTTTTATAACCCTTTATGTTTTCTTTTTCTAGCATCCCTGTCAGTTTTTTAGGAAGGATCTAGATTTCTACTACAATTGGGATGCTTCCACTTCCAGGAGGAGCTGAAACTCAAATGGGTATGTTTGTATGGATATTCAGAAGGAGGGATCCCAAAGGCAAATCCTGAGATTGGGCCAATAAAACCAAAAATCCGGCCACTTTAACTCACTAGGTCAGAAACAGACATGTGTTCTGCAATAACACTATGTTATCTACAAATTCAGTCAAACCTACAAGTTTGGAATGTTAAGAATGATGAATTATCCTTAATCACTGGGGCAACATACTGGTGTATAAACTTCACATCCAAATGGTAGTTTCATTTTCTCCCTTGTATATATTATACAAAAAGAAGCCTTTCCATGGGATGAAAAAAA